ATTTATATTTAAAAATGAAAAATAAAAAACTTCCGTCTTCTTCCTTTCTCTTTTTCTTCCTCTTCTTCCTCTTCTTTCTTCCTCTTCTTCCTCGACAGGCCATTGAACCCAGTTTGCTGGGTTCGACGGAACCCCGCTTAGGTTCCAGCGAACCCAGCAACTGGGTTCCAGCGAACCCAGCAACTGGGTTCGATGGAACCCAATAGCTGGGTTCGACGGAACCCAGAACCCAGCTCCACTTTTTTTTTTTTGTTTATATGATTGTTTGCGAGATTATCCAAATTGCAGGTTGTTGTTAGATATTTTTGGGCAATTGGTTTTTTGTTTTTGTTATATGATTGTTTGCCAAGAGATTATTCAAATTGTAGGTTGTTGTGGATTTTTGGGCAATTGCAGGTTGTTGTTTTTTAGGGATTTTTGGGCAATCGCAGGTTGTTGAGAGGAATTTTTGGGCAATTGAGTTCAGTGAATCGAGCTGGGTTTGATGGAACCTATTTGCTGGGTTACATCGAACCCAGATCTGCTGGGTTCCGTCGAACATGGGAGGAAGAAAAACAGTAACCGATGGGCAAAGATGGTGATGTGGGATCCATTTGGATGTATTTGGCGCGATTTTGCCAGGTAGCATGTGACATGGCAAAAGTTTTATACATGTCATCACTTTTTTAAGTTTTGCTCTCCACATCATCAAAAAAAATATAAAAAATGCCACCTAATCAAGGTTAATGGCCCAAATTAACAGAAGGACTAACGGAGTGCATTTTGTATAGTTGAAAGATCAAAAAAGTGCAAAAAATTGTTGAGAGACCAAAAATGTTCATTTCTTAAAGTTAAGGGACCAAATTAAGCATTTAACCATCATCTTTCTTGCTTTGAACCACCAGCGGGAAGGATATAAAATATCAAAAAAATCCATACAGGTCATACCAAAAGGATGAACTCCCATATAAGGCAGAATTATGGGAAGACAAAAAACCCTTGAAAAAAATAAAAAACCTTAAAAAATCCCTCTATTGTTAGAGAGAGTGGCTTGATCGCTTACTGAAATATAATGGGCCTTTGATTGCATTGACATGGAAATAGACCTGGCCAACAGATCGAATTAAATGGGTTTGGATTGGATCATTTTGAATTTCGAGTTTTTCGAATTGAGTCATTTTAAGTGTCGGGTTAAAAAGGTAGATCCATAATCCACCCACCACACAGGTCTCGAATTGAGTCGGGTAGATCCAACTTCTAAAAAATTAAAATTAAACATTAAAAATTTTCTATAATCTTCCTTATTTTTCTTTAACAAAGTTTAATACTAGTAACTATTTAGTTAGAAAACTTTATTAAACACTAATTTTCATTTCATAATTCAATTTTTATTTCAATCTCAAAAAAGAAAATGAAAAGGTTACTGATTATATAGGTGAAACTAAAATATATATTAAATATATAATGCTTATACAATATTTACATTTCATAATTTCATAAAGACATTAACTTTTATTAAAAGAAAGAGACATGAATGATTAAAGTTCAAAAGACAAATCCAATACATATGTTAATATCTAGTGTTTATTCAATATTTATAAGGATATTATACAAAAAATATAGTTCTATTCAATATTTAGAAGGATATTATACAAAAAATATAACCCTATTCAACATTAAAATTTAAAGGGCAAATTCAAAATATATCTAAACAAATACAAGAAGAAATTAGATTATGATTGATTTTTATTAACTAGGGACAAATTATTAATTAACAAATTAGTAATTTAAAACAAATTAACAACTAATAACAAATCTTGATGTTATTGATGTTCTTGTCTTTGTGCTTCTAATGGTGATGAGGATACCTCAACCACTGAGTTTTGATTTTCAGTAAGTATTTTTGCTTTCTACTTAAAAAAATATATATTTGACAATGCCATATGATACAGT